CCCCTCAGACCAGGGACACGTGAACGGTCGTTCACTTAGAGTTTGTATACTCTCGGAAGTCAACTTCCTCTGCACAAGGTGCTGTGTGACCCCGTCACACAACATATCTGCCCATACGTTTGGAACTCCGGCAATGTGATTGATGGTGTAGCGAAGGTCACTTAACTTCTATGCCCATCGAAGTATTTTACCACGGATGTGCTTCTTGATATTCTCCGCAGGCGCAAACACATTACCAAATTTCTGTGATCGCAGAACATGCGGAATTCCCTCGGACGCATCAGTAAATACGATAAATGTTCACAAGCCGAAACTTGAGGGAACGCCTCCTTCTGCCTTAGCTTCAGTAAATGTGGTCGCCAACGTCCTCCTTTGTAGCCTCCCAATTATCTATTTCAGTCGCCAGAATACTTAATCCCTTGCTAGAGGCAACCGTGATCAAAACCATATCGCCATCGGCACTGGGGTGCAGATGTAGCCAGTAGCTTGCAAACTTTGTCAAAAACAGCTCGAGGTTGTGCAATAAAAACAATAGGAACCGCCGCCGCAGCTCGCTTCGACCTTCTTATGCCGGAATGCATTGTTCTTCACTACTGAAGTGGCTTCGCAACCACGGCATAGATTACGATACTCTCTCGTAACCAATTAGCAGCACTCAAAAATTGTTGCCGGTATGTGTGGCGAAGTGGTTCTGCGAGAAATGCTGGTCGCTGGGGTCCGCTGCATACTGCGCTCGACTAACGGAATGTACTCCAATCTCCCGTGAAGCTGCAACATTCACCTTGTGTACCCGTCGGTGCACCGATTCGCCCTTCGGGTGATCTCAGCGGCGGCGCTTAGGCGTTTTCTTGGATTGTCTGTGTAGACAGCGGGGCATTCAGCAGCAGCGGAGATACTTCTACTCGCTGCATCGATTACGGTTTTGCGCTGTCGATCTTGATGTATAGGATCGACGATGGTGGGGCCAATTGTCGATCTTGGCCTGGGGGTTTCTTACGATCGGCAAATCGCCTTTCTTCCTTTGTTCGCTTGCGCTTCCTTTCAGCAGTTGGTCTTGCGTGAGGGTTGACGGGCGTCCTGGTCAAGCAATCCAGGCGCTCCATCTTCGATCTTGCGTATGTACGTCTATAGCGCGTCGGGCGGGCAAAAGTCAATCCCGTGCTCGGAATAGCGAAGACGAAGAACACTTGCTAAGTATGAAGTAAAACTAACTCTGTTTAATGTGTTAACCATCGATATTTTTACCACACCACTTCACGCTCTTTTGATGCAAACTCGTTTTTTTTTACACTCGACTACAGCAAAATCGTTCATCAAAAAAATGTATTTTTTTAAGGTGCTCGTCAATACTGCAAGCACACAGTAGCAGATCATCCACTCATACCAATAGGCCTTTATACCGTAATTCCTTGAAACACGTCTTTATAGTCTGCTGATAATGGATGGCGGCATCGCTACATCCTTATGATACTTTGCTATCCGTCATGTACGAAGAAATGCTTGACACGCTTTGCCAAAGAAACTACCAAAACCCTTTTAGAAATTCGAACAAACCGAAATGGGCTATACTTCGCACGTGCTTCGTGATGAAGCGAAGAATTGGCATCACACCTGTTGCGGTTTCGGTTTCAGCATTCACTGCACGGTAGTCACTTGTCTGTCGATATTCCTCAGAGCCGGGCTTCTTCAGTGACAGTGCTGGACCGGCCCACCGACTCTGTGGGTTTTCGTATGCCCACCCCATACGTTCGAGCTCCGCATTAAAATATCACAGAAACTCTCTTAGGTGGGGCGGACTCTGCCCACGCCTTGCACTTGTGCGATTTAGCACCATCCTTCAGTTTTATCATTAGCGGTGAAACCTTTGCCGGAGGGTCACCGGCGAGTTTCAGCCATCAAATGTCGAACATTATTGCTATAATTAACAAGTCTTCACGCCGCTCGCGTGGAAAACCATTATCGATCGCCTTGTCCCCTAGCTCGTCAACTGCAATTCTCCTTGTTGTCACACTCCACATCAAACTCGAGATCATTCTTGCTGTCATCAGAATCTTCGCCACCAGTGATATCACTTTCCTTAAACTGCTCGAGTTGACAGCCCACGTCAATTCCAAGAGTAGTTAAAACATCCTTCCCAAGGATAAATTGCTTGTAGCCGCGATGTTGCGGGCTTTTCCCATAAAGTCGCATATACGTTGTTGCGCAATTGCTGTAGATTTTCAAGAAGTGTTCCATTTTGCTCGTGTGGTTTTTCTTGGCTCAGTCGTTTCTGCAATCTAGAATCAAGAGTTACTATTCATAAGAGGTTTTTTCGAGCTAGGTTCTTTTTGCTAGTTCTTTCATCGCTTGCTGTATAGCATACACGGCCCAATCAATCTGTAATTTCTTGAGCTAGTGCACTTACACATCCAGTCACTACAGCTTTCCAGTTTTAGGACCCGGTCTCCACTTGTAGTGTCCCGCGGAAATGAAGACACGGTTGGAGGATTGGAAGTATTGCCTAGTGTATTTGCAGGTACCGTGAAAGTCGGCTCCAGTGCGACAAACGGTTACAGTGCGACATTACCAGCTGCACCCCTTCTTCTAGAGTATGAAATAATTCTGTTGATTGGATCGCCAGTCAAACAAATAATAAAAGTATATAATAATACTGTAGAATAAACGATTTTTTTATGAAAGCAAACAAAAGTGCAATTTTATTCATCAAAACTTTCATCTTCGATGTCCGAAGCAGCATCGACAACCGCAGCTTCTGGCAGTGCGTGTAGGTACGCTGCGAAGACGTCAGACACATAGGACCTATTGGAAGCAGTTTTGCCTTTCGAAAACCTTTTGCAATGCTTTTTGCCTTGACCATGTCCCATGCTTTCGCTACCATGAAAGACAGTATCACACGGCGTTCTGCTGTCTCAGTTGGGAAAGGATGCTCAGTATGATAATGCACGTAAAGGTCTCTAAAAATTATACACAAATTATTATCAAAGTTAGTGAACAAATAAAAATATAAAAAAACTCGATATTCTTCTTGAAGGTTCGCATTACGCTGACATCCATTGGCTGACTTAGAGCAGTAACACCCGGTGGGATGTACTGAACCTATGTCGTGCACTCGGTCTCGGGCATTTCGCGAATGCTAGCCATCTTGTGAACATTTAGACTGTCCAAAAGTAGAATGCCGCACCCGGTGACATTTGGACGCCAAATCAAACGCTGCGTCGCCCTGTGTTTTCGGCTGCGCATTGAACGATGTCAATATTGCGTGTTCCACAGTAGTCCACTGTTAATTTTCCGAGGTTGTTAATAGTGACAGCGGTCTGGTCCAGGTTGTAGAAACTACTCTCATAATTGGCGTGAAAAGACAAGATTCCATCCATTTCTACTGCAAAGTTCACAGAATTCGCAAACGAATCCGCAACATTCTAAAAAAAGATAGAACGAAAAAAATGTATAAAATAACTACCACTAATTAGGACCAACCTGCATATCGTTTCGCATTTTTTGATGCCCTGTGCGTCACGCGCCAAATCACAAGGCGATTTATATTAAGAAATCGCGTAGTCCACGATCGAAGGACAAGATAGTTGCGAGACCGAGTAAAGGCTGGATCGAACTTTGCCATCATTAAAATTAAGCCTTTCGTAGTTACGAAAAGTTTGCGGTTTTTTCTCATTTCTGAAACATATTCAAGAAGCCTAGACATTACAGCTAATAGATTTGAAAAAAAAATAGGAACTAGAAAATGAAAAAGTCCAAACCTCTATTCTAAATCAAGATAGCGCACTCGCTGTGCATGTGCCTTTATTTTACGTGGAACTTGCTTCCATTCTTCTTGTCACCTTCTAGTTTTGTGAGAGCGATGCACGCCCATCTGTACCGCAACAGTGGCTACAGAGTTTGTCTTTGAGGCTTCGACTCCCTACCAATATTACATTTAAAATGACTTAGAGTTAAGTATGGGGTATGTGATACGCGATTACACACCTTCAGCTTGACCTTGTTCTTGTTTTATGGCGGGGATTCATTGTGTGCTTGTGTGATATGTGGTGGAAGGCGGGAAGTTTGCACAATGGCGCGCCACTGGTTGTGACGACGGATGTCACTTAAAAAAACTCATAAGATTTTTTAAATGACTTGATTTTTACCGCTAATCGGTGTCGAACTGGAGCCGACTGTTACGGCAAATAGCAAAGTGTCCGTTCTTATAATTACTGGTAGGCTAGGTGACGCTGTAGTTGCTGGCTCCGACGGTTGGATGCCAGCTCTGTCAACACAGCACACGTAGTAGTGTATCTGGTCATCATGGATGTCGATTACGCTGTATACAACATTGTCGAGCTTCTGCAGTTCGTCAACGATGTGCTGCTTTAACTGAACCTTGTAGGCGGAGCTGGCTGGTAAATGTCTGCATGCGTAGCGTGTACTACACCACTAAACACACCAACACACCATTGGATCTCGTACTCTGGAAGCTTTAAAAAAAAAAGCTTTTTTTATACTGGGGAAGTTTAGGTTTAAAACGTGTATCGCAGGTTATGTATTCTACACAAAGCTGTCGCACCCAGCACTGATGCCAACGGTTTGTTGGCAGGGCTTACCAAAACACAAGCCGCCGAACCTGCTGCGCTGCGCAGCACCAGTCCGCCGGTCCCGCTTCACTGTGCCGCCCTTAACCGCCAGTTCCACTGCGCTGCACTGCCCCAGTCCAACATCCGCGCTGTGCCCCGCTGCGCTCCCCTGCCCTCTGGCCCGGCTGTGTTCCGCTGCTTCAGTCCGCCGGTTCATCCGCCGCGTTAACTTTGTTCGGCGTCTGGTGCCCGCTTCCTTGTCGTGAAGTAGTTTAGTTCCCTGGCTAACGGCAATATGACCTCCAATTATATTGACGAGCTGCGTTGTTACAGGAGATTACGGGTCTAATCGATACAATCTCGCAGAGGTCTACAAAAAATCCCAAGGTCTATGGATCGATATATTACGAGCACGTTCTCGTGGGAAGAAGCTGTGAAGAGTGAAGCACCTGCTTTGGTATACCGACAGGCATGTAACGATGTGGCTGGCTGTCGGGGGTATCATAAAATTCCAATCGATACCGAGCACCTCTACGACATTTTGATGACGGATAACATCCCGCTATATGTCCGAGAAGGAGTGAAACAACAATGGCTAGAAAATAGAACAAGTCCACCGGACCAGCTATCCATCGACCTACCAGGATATTACTCTAAAATTCAAATTCCATTAAGTCAAGGTTATATTTTCGAACTTGAATTCTGCATTCAAGTTGACAACCGAGTAACACCAGTGCATGTGGACCATGGACGCGTGGTGTCCTACATTCCTCCAATCGCTCGGCACTGCTTCAAGATTTGGGTTTTCTTTCCACCCAAACACAACCGCACCGGCACTTTCAAGTGGGGGAATAAAAAAAGAATTCCTTTAATCGAATGGTGGATTGCACTTTTGCTGAGGTACTAATTCAGTACCCAGGTGATGTGGTGAATCTCAACATTCTGGTGCAACATTCAGTGCTGCTAGGATATCAACTAGAAACGGCAGACATTGACAGGTGGGGGGGGGGGGGGGGGGGGGGGGGGGGGGGGGGGGGCATTCTTGGAGAAGTTATAGTAACTGAAAAGGATCGAGTCGACTCGTTACCTACGCCACTAAAATCGCCTCTGGATCCCGCAGGTGTCAAAGGATTTATGGATGGCATTGTTGTCCGCGTATTGCGTTATGGAAGGGCGGGAGTGGAATGGCGCAAACTACGAGGAGGAAAAAAGTAACTTCCTGGAAAAACTATCGTCTCCGGAAGCAACAGTTCAAGCAAGCAAAGCCGCCAAAGGTAAATGAGACAAGAAGAAACGCCTTGTTCAGAAATTAAAAGCTGCTAGAGGTAAAGAAGCTGAAAAGTCTGGAGTAGGCTCATATAGCAAATATATGTTGAAGATAGCTTAAATTTTACAGAATACCTGCTGCCCCAGCTCCAGTTAAGTGCTCTAGTGTTCTCTAAAGCCACACTTGTTATCTATTCGGATTTTTTCCAGACATTTGACAAAGTGATTTACATAGCGAGACAATTTTAATGTAGAGGCAGCGTCAATTGACATTTCTGATTTCCTGCTTTACTTTTGTCGGACAATATACAGCCCTAGTCGTAGTTTTGGGATCTACGCAAACTAAAAACCAGATCCGTTATCTACACCTGTGCCTACACTATTTTTATAGAGTAGTTAACTGTTTAGATTAGTTATTGACAAGTTTTAATTTCTATTGAAATCGGCAGTGTTCAAAACCTTTACCGACGTTCTGCATTCCTGTAATCAATTTTGAGATCTGTGTGTCGGAAAAGTTATGGAAGTATTGTGCAAGTGCTGATCTCCATTATCTATAGAGCACCTTGTAGCAAACGCCATAGGTTCTATCAGTCTCAGTACGTTTACGGTTTGTACTAGGAACAAAGAATACAAACAATGTGCTCAAGCACTTTTGCAGCCCACGTCACCGAGATTAAACATCGCTGTTAATGATGTATGTAACGCGCTATACTAATGTTCTAGTGTGTATTGGATAGAGTGACATTGCTACCAAGTGTGTTTAGAAAGACTTTCATTACTACTTGCAAAAATATGCCCTCTGAGCTACAAGCAAAAGTCTAAACTAGTCCACGCAAGGAGGGTGGGAAACGCGAGATGGCCTTCCTTTCTTCGCTCCAGCCGAGGGTTTAGATCGCTTAACGCGTCTATCAACAAACCGGCGGTCCGTTCCTGGCCATCCAGCGATCTTCCGGTTGGCGTGCTTCAGAGATGCCAACAGGTGCACGCACGCACCAAATTTATAGACTGCTCTGCACCGACACGTCTGCGTGTTTACAGTCCACCTGAGCACAGGCTGTCCGAGTCGCTCCTTGCGACGATTGTTCCGCTCGCCTTCTTCAGTTTTCCTGACGTTGTCTAGCGTGTCGATCAAACTTCGACAATGAAATTCACTTGGACGGCTAGATTCACCTTCCAGTAGAAACTGAACAGTATGTCGCGGCTGAGTAACCACTATTTTCTTTGCCTTCAAAAGTCTTTTTGTTCGAGCAATCAGGGTAGTTGCGGGCTTGGGTTTCGTGGCAAACGTAGGGTGAAGAATGGAGCGGTGGTGGCACATAGATATCATCTTTTTGAGCAAAGCACAAAGCTTCGTGCGGACACGAAACGTATAGTCGCGCTTAATAACTTTGTTGAAATGCTCCATGGGTTGTTCGTTCTCGCAAAGCCAGTTGGCGACCAAAAGCACTGCCACTTGCAGAAACGACTTTTAATCCAGGTCTTTATAAAATAATCGGCAAAGCGTTTCATCTCTGGAACTGCCTGCCACAAGCCATCTGCACGCTCTTGAATTGACATGAACTCGGTGGCATCTCTAGCGTAGTGCATTTCGTAGATCTGTCGATAGACGAGGTACTTCGAGTTCTTGGAGAGGCTTAAAACACGCTTTTTCACGTTTTCGACGACATGGAAGAAGCACATTAAATATTGTAGTTCTGGTTTTGAAGGCTCCGATGCACACGGAGCAAACAGGGTTTGTTCAACACCATTTAACTGGGCATCTTCAGCGTCTCCAATGCAGTAACGACCCACAAGCGGACGTCCTACGACCACCTTGTAGATATCCATCAGCCTTCGAAGAGCGTGACAGTACTGGACGAGTGTTCTTTGCGAAGTTAAGAAGAATGCCATCGGGTGAAACTGCCGAGCAGCGTCAGAGATACCGCAGACAATGAATGGGTATCCACACGTCACAAGCTCAAACGTCGCGTCTTTATGAAAGACAAATGTGTCGGGATCCCACGTGGCCACTTCGAGTAAGAATTTCGTCGTGGCTCCAATCACCAATGGTTCGTCGTCACTTCCGTCTCCAAGATCCGGAGTCCCGTCCTCGTCTAGTGGGTACCCGAACGTGAATGGCGTAGTATCAGGTAGATCATCAGAGCATTGTGATTCAGCAGCAATCTCCTCTATGTCCTCTACGTCGTCGGTGTTCTTCATTTTGCTTCGTCTGTAGTTGTAGACAAAACTTTGGATCTGCTTAGAGCAGGCACTGCTCCGGTCGATAGCGTGAAGCTATCAACCAGCTCATTGCGGATGCAAGCGGGCTTTACGTCCTTTGCCACTAGCTCACGGATAGCCGCCTTCATCTCAAGAGAGAGTTGCGGACGCAGGTCAGGAGCGATGACGGCAAAGTGGTCATCGTGCTGATAAAGATGGTTCTGCTTCGTTCTCTCGCAGGTCAAGTCTTCAGCTTAAACTTGCACGAGATAAGTGCGCTCAAGCAGGGCTCGGACTTGCAGCAGTAGATACGGTAGCGCATATGATGCTGATCGAGGTTGCTAACACACACAGCACAGTGTTTGAGCTGACTGGCAATCACACCCATAGGGCGGCAAGGCGTCCAGTTTTCGATTGATGCAAAAGACATTAGGACAAATCTCGTGCTGATTGGTCAAACGTAGTTGGGCAGTGGATACATCATGATACATAATAAAGTCTTTTTGGTTCAAAAATAAAGCTCTCTCATGCGTTTGCGATCGCTCCTGCAGCAAATACAGCTTCTCTCCAGAAGAGGCGTTTGCTTCTTTGTCCCGCCAGTCCAAAACTTGAAACGTGGATGATGTACGTGGAAGAGTTTAACGCGCGATATCCTGACCAGAAACAGCAGTGATCGATGGAACTTCCACACTGGGAAGGAAAATCCCACCACAGAATAAAAAATGGCCACGGTCTTGCAGGACAAACTGATCGAGAAGTGGTTAATTCAAAAGGAGGGACCGACAAAATTGAAAATCGACGCTCGACGGTGAGCCAACTACTGAAGAAATGACCGGCTAATACGTAAAGAAGTTCAGTTCGCTGTCGAAATTTACATCATAAGCTATGGCTTGTAGATTTCGAATCACATTGTGATCCTCGAAGCTCTAACCGGTGGAAATAAATTCGAATGTGATCATTCCTGTGGTTGCCCCACCACTCCGTACCAGTCGGTCCAAGAGCCAAGGAAAAAAAACTTCATCATGGTGTCATCGCGTGACCCTGAAATCTACCCGCTAGTGTTTTCGGTGTCGGTTGGTGTGGTGATTGGCGCTCTGAGTATCCTTTGTTCAACCTACGTAACCTGGCAGTGTACTGCGCGCTCGGAACATGCACTTCCCAGCAGTATAGGCTTCTACATGCGTCGCCATCTGAGCGATTGCACAGGGACGACACAGCATTACGAGGGCCGCGTCTCGGAAGGCATTGCCCGGGATGGAGAAAAGGTGGCGCATTTTGAGTCGAAGGCAGACGATGCTGACAGTCGTGATGATCTCCGCAACCACACACAAAAGCAGCAGCAGGGGGTTGTCTGCTGCTGCAGCCACTAGTCCCAGAAGATACAACGCGACGTGCATACCGAGGATAAACGCGTAACCGGCCAATCCGAGACGAACAGTGATCTGAGCCACCGTGATCACGGGACAAAGGAGTGCCATCAAGCCTGTCAGCAACAGAGACGAAAGTAAGATGAACAGCGATACGAAGATACGGGGATGCAGTGTCGGTACCGTTGGGGATGATGTCGTCGCAGCAATTGAAGAATCCATTGCTCCATTCGCCAACAGTGATACTGTTGTGATCAACGCCGTCACCGCGCTCAAGCCTGTTAGGATAGACGAACGTGGTCACTGGCTTGGATGGTTGCTGGTCTTTCATAATGTTGGCACTTGCACTGGTAACAGCGAATTTGATAATGTTGACTCCTGGCGAATCCCTATAGCAAGTAGCGATCGAGGTGTGGATTGCGGGTGCTGGTGACCATGTAGTCGCCAGGTTCTCTATAAGTAGAGTAGCCTAGGTAATATAGTACAAAGTACTGACAGTTTTCTGCAGGGAAAGTTGGAGCAAGGAGTACGGACACCACGCACCACTCTTCTGGTATACTACATGAACAATGTGATACAGGTTCGATGTAAATGTAGAAGTACCGATTCGAAAGCACCAAACTTGATCATCGCAGGCCAGACCATTTACTGTTGTTGAAAGGGAACACATGATGGATCACTATCTGACTTCGTTCAAATGTTTCGAGCTTCGTAGTGTTGCGCAGTGCTGTCTTCTACCTCGAAATGTTTTACATAATGTTAGCCCATATTCTTAATTTCTCTTCGAATAGCGACAGCAAGAAACGATCACACGATTAAAAAGAATCGAAAACCATACTAATGTTAATGTGAATCCTCCACGTTTTCTATTCTGCACACAGCGACGCTATCATCACTGTGGTCCATACAGAGTAAACGTACAAGTATTGTTTGCGAACGCCTTAAGTTTAACCGAAGGTGTAGCCAGGTAGTGTTGCTCGAGGTAGAACGGCAAACGTATTGGGCTCGAACGACTCCGAGTGGTCCGCCATCTGCGCAACGGCACAGCAGCAGCAGAATACGGATGCGAAGATGTCCTCCATTAACGATCCAGGGATGGAGAACAGGTACCGCATACGGAATCGAATGCGAATCGTGAAGAGCATCACCAGCGCGCCCATGATCACAGCGAGCGTGCTCAGCACGTCGACTTTGGTCACCGCAGCACCGAATACGAGACCGTCGACAGACAAGTACGAGAAGAGCACAGCGAAGAAGTTGGCGATGCCTAGACGCGCGCAGATCTGCGCCATCGAGATACCAGGGCAGAATAGCGGCGTGATGGCTGGGAAATAGGTACACCGTTAGAGATCAGTGTCGATAACGATCCGTGACGACGTACCATTCGGGACGCAGTTCATGTAGCAACTGCCGAACAATCCGTTCTTCCACTTGCCCACCACAAGGCCGTTGTGGTCGACACCTTCGATTGCAGGCGTCGGAGCCATCGGCACATTCGGGTCGTCAGCCTTGCTGGGCATTGTTGTTCAGGAGCGCTTTACCAAGCTCGTGTACTTTAGCCGAATGCACGGTCCGGCAGCATGCAGCACCATTGGAGACTCTTGAGTTTGCGACTGTTCATAGCGGATCCGCCTCCTCAACCAGCGCGACTGTCCACGGCGGCATGCAGCGGTTTTGAAGCGGTGCATTGAGAGATCGCAGGGGATTATCTCGGTATCGACGACAGCAGCGGCGTAGACTTCCTCGCGAGACGTGAGCGCTGGGCGTCCGGAACGGCTACTGATCCGAACACGACGCTCGCTCCCTCAGGCGTGTTTGAACTCCTGGGACGAGCTCGTCTGTTTTCTAGCTGCTGTAACTTGAACCAGCAGCGTTCACTGGTCGTCAAGCCAAAATCGCCAATCCCCGTCGATCGGGAAAAGATAGACGGAGCGCTGCAAGTGAACTGCACTGCAAGCGCAGCCAAGTTCAACGTGGTAAACCGTAGACAAGGCGAAAGCGCGGAGACGTTCGAGGCGTGACTGTCACATGCGGTGAATCTTGCGGTTGAAGCTGCGTCTGCACACCGTCGCTGCACTTGCATGTGCTGGTTGTCTGCCAATGACCGAGTGCCGTGCAACCACGGCGCGCGAAATACATTGGGCCCAACAGACCAGCAGAGCTTTCCTGACGTCGCTGCAACTGCAACAACCGCAAGCCGGGGCAAATCCCCTCCGCCCGTCGCATGTGGATCCTCGTGCTTGAAGCTGCGCTCGCACCGGAACTGGTTTAACGCCTCTACGACATCTGCACGCGGCTGGCGCAATTCAGCGCGGATTGCTCCCCCGAATGCTGGTTGAGCTTCGGTCGCGGTTGTCCTGGAACTTGTCCGCTTGAAGCTCTGCGAGCCAGCCAAACCGAGACTCAGCCGACGACGCCGTCTTGCAGTTCACCACTGCAATTCGCCGCTCTCATCCTGGCGCAAGTTGTATTGCAATCACTGCCAGCCGCTGTTAACACAAATACTGCAAGATGGCTACGGCGCATATTCCAATCCAAAGGTATTCCTTGAAAAGGGTGCATGGTGGACGGCATCGCCTTTGAGAGGCGTTTGTCCAATCGAGCAGGACTGGTCCACGCCGCAGTACCATTCATCAGACAATTGAGGCTGATGCAGGCCTTGGGGACCATTTCCAAGACTTGTCGGATGCCTTGGGGACCATCTCTTGGAGCAACATTGGCGAGTGTACACTGTACTTGCATGTACTTAACAGCTGCCATACTGAGACCAAGTGAAATTGTCATCTGGAGGCCCCTTTTGCGCAAGCAGGAGGATGGGTTTCTATGCTTGTGAAGTGAGGAATCAACCGACGTGCAAGGCCGACACTGGGTCACGGCGGAATGCACCAGGATGGCACCGCTGCACTGGTTTCTGCTGGCTGCACCGCTATCGCTGTTAGCCACGTTATAGCCTGCACTCGTTGTGTGGTTTCACTATAAATGGCACAACGTCTATAAGAAAACGTCTTCCTCTCCTTTTGATACTCATTGAGAGTGGCCACGGTACTGCTCCTCCACTCGTTTCTAACCAACAGGCGTAAAGAAAAGGCAAAAGATCGTGTTCCATAAAGACAAGTAACCTAGAATTTGTAATCTTTTGCACTACTTATTGCGGTCCACAACTTTTCTTCAGTCTTCTGGTGGTCTCCTCTTCAATGTCACAATTCATTCCTGAATCGCAAAGTACCGTGTGCTGCTTCGACGTCGGCATTCCGCATTTTGCGCCGCGCCGGTCAAGCGCTCACTTCCGCATTGCCCGCATGTTCCGTATCCACCGCCGCGCCGCCACCCTCTCATCAACTTCCGGTCTTTCCAGCCGCCTCTCTGCGCTCGCGCCTCGTCGTTCTAATGGCGTCCGTGGCTTCCGCTCCATCCCGGGCGAGGGCGCCGACAAGCGCGCCATCTTCCAACAGAAAGGCCTGTACCGCCAGCTTGAGGAGAAGGACAGTTGCGGAGTCGGTATGATCGCCAGTCTTAAGAAGAAGCCGTCGCGCTCCACCGTTGTACAGGCCAACGAGATGCTTGTCCGTATGTCCCACCGCGGTGGCTGCGGCTGCGATCCCGCGTCCGGAGACGGCGCAGGAATGTTGGTCGCTTTGCCCCATGAGTTCGTCCAGCGCGTAGTCAAGGACGGCGAATTCGGCGCCGCCGCTAAGCTGCTGACCCTCGAGAAGGAGAAGTATGCTGTGGGCAACGTCTTCTTCAACAAGAACGCTCCCAACGACATCCCGTTGGCCAAGAAGACGTTCGATGATATGGCTGAGGCCATGGGTCTCAAGGTCGTGGGCTGGAGAGCCATGCCCACGACGTCCAACACACTGGGAGCCACTTCACTGGCCTCTGAGCCTCACGTCGAGCAGGTAATGGTGCTCAACGAGAACCCCAATCTCTCGGGAGACGACTTTGAGAAGGAACTCCTGCGACTACGTAATGTGGTCACATCCGTGAACGAAAAGAAATTCTCGGACTTTTACGTCAACTCGCTGAGTAACCGTACTATCACCTACAAGGGCCAGCTCACGCCCGAGCAGCTCTTCGAGTACTACGACGACCTGTCCGCCAAGGACTTCACGTCCTATGTGGCGCTGGTACACTCGCGTTTCTCGACCAATACGTTCCCGTCCTGGGATCGCGCCCAGCCCAACCGCATCATGTGCCACAATGGCGAAATCAACACTCTGCGTGGCAACAAGAACTGGATGTATGCTCGTGGTGGCACTTTGCACAGCTCGTACTTTGGCAACCGCACGTCGGACCTGCTTCCTGTATGCTCGGACTCCAAGTCGGACTCTGGTAACTTTGACGCTGTGCTGGAGATCCTCACAAAGGCCAGCTCCTGCAACCGTTCTCTACCTGAGGGAATGATGATGATGATCCCCGAGGCCTGGCAGAACGACCCGCTCATCGCCCCACACAAGAAGGACATGTACAAGTACCAGTCGTTGCTCATGGAGCCGTGGGATGGACCGGCCATGATGGCGTTCACGGACGGCAAGTACATTGGCGCCACGCTGGACCGCAACGGTCTGCGCCCGAGTCGATACTACGTCACCAAGGATGACCACGTTCTCCTTTCCAGTGAGATTGGTGTGCTGGAACACCTGCCGGAGAAGGACATCAAGTACAAGCGTCGTCTAGAGCCCGGCAAAATGTTCCTGGTGGACTTTGAGCGCGGTATGATCGTATCGGACGACGAGGTCAAGAAGTCTGTGAGTGAGAGCCGTCCTTTCAAGAAGTGGCTGGACGAGAACCTCGTGTCGCTTTCGGAGTTGACTGCGACCAAGAAGGAGGCAGCGCAACAGAAGCGCCGACCGAACTACGCCGAGCTTAACCGTCGTTTGAACATGTTTGGCTACACGACGGAGACGATGGACCTGCTTATGATGCCGATGGGTATTCACGGCAAGGAATCGCTGGGTAGCATGGGTAACGACGCGCCGCTGGCTGTGCTGTCGGAACAGCCCAAGCTGCCTTTCGAGTACTTCAAGCAGCTGTTCGCACAGGTGACGAACCCTCCGATTGACCCCATCCGTGAGGAGTTGGTCATGAGTTTGATGTGCCCCGTGGGTCCTGCTGCCAATGTCCTGGACGCAACTGCTGAACACGCCAAGCGCCTGATGGTGGAGCATCCGGTCATGTCGAACGCTGAGATGGGCGCTCTGAAGAGCACCAACAACGCCGACTGGACGCCCAAGGTCCTGGATGCCACGTTCGCTGCGGGCAGTGGCGCTCGCGGCCTCGTTGAGGCTCTTTACCGACTATGTGAACAAGCTACTGATGCGCTGGTGAACGAGAAGGCTCCTATTATCGTGCTGTCTGACAAGCTCGCTGGTGTGAACCGTTACCCGGTGCCGTCGCTGCTCGCTGTCGGTGCCGTGCACCAGCACTTGCTGCGTACCCAGCAGCGTACCAGTGTGGCTCTGTTCGCAGAGTGCGGTGACGCCAAGGAGGTGCACGACTTCTGCACCCTGTTGGGTTTCGGCGCTGATGCCATCAACCCGCACATGGCTGAGATGGCTCTGAACAAGATGAACGATGAAGGTCTGCTCTACGCTCACTCGAAGAAGGAGATGGCCAACTCGGAAGTGTTTGACAAGTACCGTGCGGCTGTGGGCAAGGGTATCCTCAAGGTCATGTCTAAGATGGGTATCTCCACGCTTCAATCGTACAAGGGTGCGCAAGTGTTCGAGGCTGTGGGTCTGGGTGACGACATTATCAGCATGTGCTTTGAAGGCACGAACTCGCGTATCCAGGGAACGGACTTTGAAGCGCTGTACACGGACATCTCTCGCTTCCACGAGGCTGGATACCCATTGCACTCGGACATGCTGCCTCTGATCCGCAACCCTGGCAGCTACCACTTCCGTAACGACTCGGAGATTCACTACAACTCGCCCAAGAACATTGTGGCGCTGCAGCGTGCTGCGCGTGAGAACTCGCGCGAGGCTTACGCGCAGTATGTCGAGGAGACCAACGAACTCTGCAAGCGCGTGAACCTGCGTGGCCTTCTGGACTTCAAGTTCGTCGACGAGGACAAGATGCCGAAAATCGAGGAGATGGAGAGCGTCGCTGACATTGTCAAGCGCTTTAACACAGGCGCTATGAGTCTGGGCAGTATCTCGCAGGAGACGCACGAGGCTCTGGCTGTTGCGATGAACACGATTGGTGGACGCAGTAACACCGGCGAAGGTGGCGAGGACGTCAAACGCTTTACTAAGGCTGGTGGCCCTCCCAACCTTCGTCGTTCGGCCATCAAGCAGGTGGCTTCGGGTCGTTTCGGTGTGACGATGAACTACCTGACTAATGCCGATCAGCTGCAGATCAAGATGGCCCAAGGCGCCAAGCCTGGTGAAGGTGGTGAGCTGCCTGGTCACAAGGTCAGCGACTACATTGGATCCATGCGTCACACTACGCCTGGCGTGGGTCTGATCTCGCCACCGCCTCACCACGACATTTACTCGATCGAGGATTTGGCTCAGCTGATTCACGACTTGAAGCACTCGAACCCGTCGGCTGAGGTGTCTGTGAAGTTGGTGTCGGAGGTTGGCGTTGGTGTGGTGGCTGCTGGTGTTGCCAAGGCCAAATCGGACCACATTACCGTTTCAGGTCACGACGGCGGTACCGGTGCTGCTGTGTGGACTGGTGTGAAGAATGGCGGTCTTCCGTGGGAATTGGGACTCGCTGAGACGCAGCAGACGCTGGTGCTTAACGACTTGCGTTCGCGTGTGAAGCTGCAGACCGATGGCCAGCTGAAGACTGGTCGCGATGTGATGGTCGCTGCGTTGCTTGGTGCTGAGGAGTTCGGCTTTGCTACGGGTCCGCTGATCGCTCTTGGCTGCATCATGATGCGCAAGTGCCACTTGAACACATGCCCTGTGGGTGTTGCCACTCAGGACCCGGAGCTGCGTAAGAAGTTCCAGGGCCAGCCCGAGCACGTGGTCAACTTCATGTTCATGCTGGCTGAAGAGGTGCAGGACTACATGCGCCGCCTGGGTTTCCGCAAGCTCGACGACTTGATTGGCCGTGCTGATCTGTTGAAGGTGAACCAGGACGCGCTGCACTACAAGAGCCGCAAGTTGGATCTCTCTCCACTTCTCATCAATGCTAGCACGCTGAACGAGGGCGCTGGCGTGAAGAAGGAGATGGAGCAGGACCACGAGGTCGAGAAGTGCATCGACATGCGTCTGATCGAGAAGGCTAAGGCTGCTCTGGAGAACAAGACGCCTGTTGTCGTCGAGGACGTTGCTACTAACCTGGACCGCACGCTCGGTGCCACGCTGTCGCACGAGGTCTGCAAGCGCTACGGCGAGGAGGGTCTGCCCGACGGAACGATTCACCTGAAGCTCAAGGGCCACGGTGGCCAAAGTCTGGCGTTCGGTCTGGCCAAGGGCGTGCGTCTCGACCTGGAGGGTGACTCGAACGACTACGTTGGTAAGGCTCTGTCAGGCGGTGAAGTGTCGGTGTTCCCGGGCGAGGACTTCTCGGAACGTGCCAACCCGGAGAACGTGATTGTCGGCAACGCCGTGCTGTACGGTGCTACCAGTGGCGAGGCTTACTTCTCGGGCAAGGCTGGTGAGCGCTTCTGCGTGCGTAACTCTGGTGTCAAGGCTGTCGTTGAGGGCGTGGGTGACCACGGATGCGAGTACATGACGGGGGGTCGCGTGGTTGTCCTGGGTTCGACTGGCCGTAACTTTGCCGCTGGTATGTCTGGTGGTATCGCCTACATCTTCGACGAGGACCAGACGTTCCAGGAGAAGTGCAACATGGGCATGGTGGGCGTCGGTCCGTTGACTGAGACGGCGTCGGATGCTGAGATTCAGGAGGTCAAGGCTCTCATCACCAAGCACTTGGAGCGTACGCAGTCGCCGAAGGCGCAGAAGGTGCTGGACAACTGGGACGCGTCGGTGCACAAGTTCATGCGTGTGATGCCGTCTGATTACGAGCGAGTACTGCTTCAGCAGGCGGCGGTCATCAAGGAGACCAAGAAGCTGGCGTCTGCTTCCGTCTAAAACGTATGATCACTTAAGCTATGTAAGATGAGCAATGGGCTGAGATAAACCAGATGAATTGTATAACCAAGGTAAGCGAAGATCAATTATGAGGTTACGACTTGCATCCGTACTGCCCCGCATGCCCGGTTTTACGTGAACTTCAACTTGATCTCCTAATACAAGCCCCCTCCCTCTATTAGAGTTACCTATTACCCTACAATTGTCAAGTCTAAAAATACAAAGGGGGATTTTCCGATCTTGTCCAAGAAACACAAAGAGAATCAGAAAAGATGAAGGTGTTCACGTCGCTGCTCCTTGCTGCCACGGCAGCGTTCGCCCCCGCCAGTGCACTGACTACCGATCTCCCGTCGTCGTTGAGTGCCTCGGAGCAGCAGACGTGGGAAGCATTCGTGGACTACGCTCTGGACTACGAGAAGAGCTACCGCTACGACACCTATGATCAGGACCTGGTGCAGCAGCGCTTCCGTGCCTTCGCGACCAATCTGGAGCGCATCCAGATGCACAACGCGGCCTACGAGCGCGGAGAGCACAGCTTCACGCTGGGGCTCAACGAGCTTGCGGACCTCACGGACGCTGAGTACAAACAGCTACTGAGCTACCGAGCCAGCGTCTCCAAGGCCTCGAGGGCGTCTGAAACGTTCGTCAAACCTGACAACATCGAGGATCTTCCAGCCACTTGGGACTGGCGTGAGCATAACACTGTCACGCCCGTGAAGAACCAGGGCCAGTGTGGCTCGTGCTGGGCCTTCTCGGCCGTGGCGGCCATGGAATGCGCCTATGCTCTGAGCACCGGCACGCTTGAGTCGTTCTCGGAGCAAGAGCTCGTGGACTGTACCCTTAATGGCATTGATACCTGCAACCATGGGGGTGAGATGAGTGAGGGGTACGAAGAGATCATCAACAACCACAAGGGAAAGATCGACCGCGAGGAGGACTACGAGTACACGGCCGAGTCCAAGGGCGTATGCAACGCCAAGGACGACAAGGCCATTGGCCACTTCACTTCGTACGCCAATGTCACGTCCGGTGATGAAGCTGCTCTACAGGCCGCCATTGCCACTAAAGGTGTACAGGCGGTGGCCATCGACGCCAGCAGCTTCACGTTCCAGTTGTACCGCCACGGCGTGTACAGCTGGCCGCTGTGTGGCAACGCCCCCGATGCGCTGGACCACGGCGTGGCGGCCGCTGGCTATGGCGTTTACAAGAAGAAGGACTACTGGCTCGTTAAGAACTCGTGGGGTGATTCCTGGGGCATGAAGGGCTACATCATGATGAGCCGCAACAAGAACAACCAATGCGGCATCGCTACGGACGCCACGTACCCGATTATGACCAAGGAAGAAGAGATCGTGGTGGACCGCCCTATTGTCCTGGAGACGACGGAGGTGGCCAGCATCATGTAAGCGTGCAGCCTACAGAGGAGCGCACTCAAGGGTTTGATGGCCGTGATGGCTGCTGTTATGAATGCACATGTTGTATCCTCGACTGCCCCTCTTTACATCGTTCCTGTTGGTAATTCCTTGCCCTCCTGGCGCCAGGAACACTGTGTCGTACAGTGAGCGCCGCGTTGAGGCGATCGCATTGTGCGGTTTCCCTTGATGGTGGACAAAAGCGCAACACACGTCGCAGGAATTCTAATTAAAGACGGGCTAATGATGACGCAAGGGCATCATTCCCTAACCACACCCTCTCAAAAGTGTCATAATCCACTCAAAAGATTGCGGCTGATAATTCATGTGCCCATTTTCAGGATCCCAAAATATCTGTATGGTTGGGCTCACACTGAACTGTCGATACAAGCAGAGTCCTAGTATCCATGTTTCGTTCGTATTTCTTTGGATCGTGGTAGCTTCTTGGTTCGTCATCCTTACAGCCACCACTCCAACACCATAGCCGATAGCTTGCGGCCGGTATTAGTCGTGATCGTGTTTTCCACTGTGACCACCGCACTCCGTGCACTCCTCATCATACTAATGTAATCCTCGGGCAACTCGATGCGCTTGTATCGAGCGGTGCTTGTCCGTGTTAGACCATCTGCCTTAACGACAGTCTGGCCCATAACCGCGAATGCAGCGAACGCTTGCGGAACTCTTCTTTGATGATAGGTAGCATTCTGTCGACGATTCATATTTCCACTATTAGTCATTTGCCGGAAATTTATCGCGATGACACAGACCGCAGCTCCATGGTTCACCCGTCCTCATTCTCTCATGTTTCATCTCACTTCCTTCTCGGCACTCGACAACCTACCAAGGCTACCAAATCTTAAACTACAACTATAGCATAAGGCCACCATGTGAACGCCAACGACTATTACTTGAACTATCCTCCTCCTCCTTCTACCAATTACTACTATTAGCCCAATCACTTAGGCAAACAAATTTAATTGAAGAACATCTACGAAGTGAGCCCATTCTACTATTTATTGCCCATTTACAGTCGTACAGACTCGTACAGGCCTTTGTGCGTGCCCAAAATCGACCTTCCAAGTATCAATTCAATATCGATTCTGAATGTTACCCCCAGACTTCAAGCGTCACGTCGATATGCCGCCAGATTTGGACCCTGCTCTACTGCAAGTAGGGGACAGCGAAGCACGCGCGGAGGACCGGCGTCAAGAGCTCATTTCCTATAGCCTGATAGCACAGTAAGTGCTGCTTCAGGCTGTTATTCGGCGAGCAAGTATCGCGCCATGAGATCCAATATCCACTTCAAGGCGCGTCACAGCCGTTAATGACGTCGCCCTTCTTCCGAAGCCACCAGAAATGACGTATCGTTTCTTTCCCCCAAGCAGAGTACGCCAATCTGTGACGCGGCTACTCACATCTCTCTTCTATTGGCTGAAAAGAGAAAGTCTGACAGCCGCCAATTCGCCAAAATCTTGAATAAATTTATTCATTGGTCAAAATCGTACTCGAAGTGCAGAAGCGAGACGATGAATGACGTCGTCATGTCTCGCTCGTACTTAGTGTGGCAACACTCACTTTTCGAACGAACGAGTGGAGCAGTTTCCTCCCCACACTCCAACTCATAGATTTTGAGTTGGTGCATTTAGTGTTTTACCGTCGGTTGCCAACGTACCATCAAATCTACCAACCATGGAGACCGCCTGCCCCAGCAACAACGCCCAGTTGCAGCTCAGCTCCTTCGTCTCGCTCGACGCCGACGACGAGATGGCCCAACTCATTCTCGAGGTATGCAACCAACCGGCTGCAACAATGCAACGCTGTGCCCACTCTAACATTATTTCTCGCTTCACAGGAAATCTCGTACATGCGGCGCTCATTTACCGGTGTGGCAGCAGAGATCGCCAGCTCCCCGTCTAGCACATCGACCACGGGACTCAATGCAATCTCGGAAGACGATGAAGAGGAGGAAGAGTAGACGGCTGCCAGTTAATAGACAACCACGCGATGAGGGACGGATACATCACGCGACCAGAACTCGCGCAAACCGCGCTGCAAATACTTTCCGTCGAGTTCGATCGTTGGGAGCGCAATGCCGGTATTAGCACAAGTAGAGGGTGGGGATAGCAAGTTACAACGCGTTATTTATTGGAGAACAATGCAGTTTCTTTTCTAATGTTGGAGGTGGTGATATTGCGCAGTTTTTTTTGTTGGCTTTTGGGAGGTGCTTGGCCGTTAACTATGCGACGTAGGATCCTGTGACATCGAATTTGGTAAGTCCTTCCACCCAGGAAGTGGGCATTTCAGTAAGAACTGCTCACCAGCCCAGCCGCGGTGTGTAAAACACAAAGGTTAGAGCAGCTTTCATATTGTCGCAACGAAGAAGAGAATACCCAACCACAGTAGTAAGCTCTCGTTCTCATCCCAGAAATGCTCCAACGTATCCTACTCCAAAGTACGTGTACATGTATCTTCTTGGTAGGCCTACCCCCCAAAAACCAATCCTTTCCAAACTACATCATTCTATTAATACACGTGCTGAATTTCAGCTGGAAAGCGGGTGGCGAGCCACTACCTTATGTGAGGCGCTATGAAAACGAGGCATGCAGCAAAACGTTTGCCATTTGTTTTGATAATTGGCGTCGTCTCCAGTAATATTTTTTGTGGTAGGTCGGTGGCAGTCTGGGCCCGAAAATAATTGTTTTCATTTTTTTTCTAAAAATATAAGCTGCATGTTCAGCTTCTTTAGAGCAATTTTTACGGCGGATAGTTAACCGCTACCGAACTTTGGTCGCGAGCTCTCATACCTACGCAGTTTTTTTTTTTTCTCTGTCGGCGTGTCGAAGCCTAAGCTGCTTCCATTCGCGAGGACTACAACAACAACAACAAAAAATCGCCGTCCATCCAGCGAGGACATTCCATGAGCTAAAGGAGAACCGTCACAGTTCGTCGCTTTGTTTATCTAATTGGTGACGAAACACCTCCAGATTCAAACGGTATAAACTAGCAGATTATAAGCTCAAAATGAAGCAAATATCATTGTGCATTTATACCCAATCGAATGGATTATGAGAAGGATAATTGAGAATGCCGTGCACCTTCTTACGAGTATATGCAGTGCCCACTGAATTCTCTGACCCCGTTTTAGGGCTGACACTCCGCATGACGCAGAGGCGTTGTTCTGCATGTCGAAAAAAAATGTCGAGCTATCGGTCTGCAATGAGTGTGGCTACTTGGATGGGTTTCCTTTTTTATAACTGTATAGTGTCCATAATGTCCGAACATGCATCGCCCGTTGGTGGGGCAATCTCCACTAAAACGGTCTTACTATGGATAGCAGAATCAAGGGTTCTACTAACAGATGCCTATGCTTTACATATACTAATCACGTTCAAGGGTGACTGAATCACTGACAAGTATTTCTAGTAGCTCGCAACGTAAAAAGTGTATGCCAGCTAGGTCGATCTAGTAGTCTTACCATACAAGCCATGCGTAGCCCCACGAACGGGGCTATTTACGCAGGTGTTGGCAGCAGGGGTCGGAAAAAATAATATCAATACAATAATTACTGTATTGTCTGGCTACAATTATTTATTATTGGACTAGACCAAAATCAATACAATATGATATTGTCCCAATAATACCAATACAATACCGGTTTTGAGTGAATTTGCGTCGCGGTTGGCTTGAACCAATCATTCTAACAACTGGTGGCCACGAGCACAGAGCTGTTGCTCCGCAACGTAGTTTCACTTTGCATTTCGACCTGATGGCTCCGAACCGTGAAATTTGCGCATTCTTCTTTGAGGACAAAGGTCAAGGCGACTACCGCTGCCAGCTTTGCGGTACTCCCCGTAAACAGCAAGCCGGAACCGGCTACTCAAACCTGCTGTCCCACCTCAACCTGAAGCACCCCGACTTTGAGGAGACCTACGACACTTCTTTGGCTACAGCCACACCTCTCTCCAGCTTTGGATTCGTCTCAGAAGCGGCTAAGTGTCGCTACCAGTGGCTTCAGTGGGTAGTGGAGAGAAACATGCTCCTCACCGAAGTTGATGACCCCCTCACAAGGTCTATGTCGTCCTGGAAACCCGTTTCGTCAAAGGCGTTGAAGCTAGACATGCAAAGATGCTCCAAGAGCGTTGGCGTGCTGGTCGAGAAAGAGTTGGGCGAGCTGTTTGGACTCATGTGGGACGGATGGACGCATGGTACCGCACACTACGTTGGTATATATGGTGTTTGTTACGTACGCGGTATGCGCCGTGAGCGGTTGCTGTCGCTATCGCCCCTGGATGATGGCAGCTAAGATGCAGACGTACACATCGATATGTTCAAGCGCGTCCTAGCACTATATAAGAAGGACATTTCGATGGTGGCTTTTCTGGTAGCTGACAATTGCGCGACAAATCAGCGTATTGCTACGTTGTTGGAGTTACCACTGGTCGGTTGCGCAAGTCATCGATACAACCTTGCGGTGAACCGGTACTTAGCTTCATACGAGACGGAGCTCACTGTAGTTAACAGCCTCATGGTGCAGCTATGTCATGTCAACAACGCGGCGGAACTAGCAAGATTCACGGATCGAAAACCTGTCAAACGGAATATTACTCGTTGGTCTTCAACGTTTGAAATGGTGTGCCGCTACAAAGAAATTCGAGATTCTATTCGACAGGTTGATGCTGTTGAAGAGTTCATCCCAAACGGTTCGACCCACAAGAAGCTTCTCGCTCTGCTAGAGCAACTCAAGAAACTGGATAGTGTGTGTAAGACACTCCAGTGTGAGAACACCAGCATGGCCGACGTTCGCGTTCTGTTTGACCAGGTAGCTGATGACTACCCAGTTATGGCAAGTCATCTACGTCCGACTGCGAAGATCGTTCACACGCCGATTTTTGAGTCAGCTTTGGTTAAGATTAGCAACAACACAAAGCTCACTGCGTCTGAATTGCGAGCGGTGCAGCGATTCATAGTAGAGCCAATCGCTACAAGCGGTAAAAGGAAAGAACGCGCGGCAAGCAACTACGCCAGCGAGATTCTACGAGGAGGAAAGCAGATGCGAACTGCGGGTGCTGCGACGGTGAGCTTTCACGAGCTGGCGAAGGTGGTACCGCCAACGTCGAACACAGTTGAGCGGCTTTTTTCGCAGTGTAAGCTCGTCGTGATGCCTCAGCGGACGTGCATGCTACCTGCGAACTTTGAAATGCTGGCGTTTCTTCGCGTTAACCGTGACATGTGGAACGCGGCGTCGCTCATCACCACGGAGTAGAGGTAGGTAGGTGGTACAATATACGGATATTGGTACAATTATTATTATTGTTCTTCGTCATATTGCAGTTATTATTATGGGGCGCCGGGCCGTGCAGTATAATATAATACTGTATTGTCCGAGGCCTGGTTGGCAGGGGTGAAGTGTAGCCCGCCTCGCTTTGCTCAGCAAAATGTTGATTCTGGAAAGACTGAAGGATAATTTTTACGACAGTTGTTGCCGCATTGATTCACCAAAATACTAGAAGGTTATATATTTCTTGTTATACTGAGAAGAATAACCCAAATAGGTACACCTCCAATGGGTGTTTTATGTATTTGTTTTTAATCCAATTGAGGTCACGATGGGGATACTTTATATTCTAGTGACTGTCCTTCATCTGTATTTGTGATCAGCTGAACTATTGAAAGACTTCCGAGACATAAGCATATACTCTGGGAAACGATTTGAAGCAATTGTAGAAAGATTTAACAATATCGACGAAATATGTGCAAAATCATTTGAAACGCCAGCAACCCACCAAAACTATGCGATAAGGAAAACTTATTTGCCTGCTGCCGTGGACCCATGCGATTTTTTGAGCCGTCTTGGAGCATGGTTGACATTAAAGTGACACCCATCGTGACGACAGATCTTTACCAACCTCATGCGAGTTGTCGATAAAAAACATTAGCTTATAGCATTGCATTATCTCGAAAATCATTATCACATCTACTTAACTAAGTCTTCCAACACCGGCTGACTCGTTCAGTCGGACAAAAAAGTAGTAAATTATAATTTCGTCTTTTTTTTTTAGCATCTTGCGTTAACGGCCTACCTTAGTTTTTGGTTTAAACTACCTACCTGTGCCAGTAAAATTGATATTGACTCGACATTAGAATGCTTTCTCGACGAAGCTGCGGCTAATGATGCCACGCTTGCGAGCATAGCCGATCCATAGTAGCGATTTTCCGTGAGATAGGCCTTGGTGTGCAGTATACATGTTGCGCGTTACCGCCCGTAATCGTTGATCATGAGTTTTGATCGTCACAATGTTGACGGTATATTACACGCAGTTAAAGCTCTATATCCCGCGACTTCTTCATTCCAAAACTTCCTTTCCAGACACAATGCATCTCCACATCCTGGTTGGCCTGACTATCGTTATTTATTTCGTCGCAGACATTAGCGCAACTGAACCGACAGGCTCCATGTCAAGTGTTAACGACGAGGTCGACTTCTACAATGTCAGCAAGACTAGGGTTTCCGACACGAGATTCTTGAGAATTGTTGTCGATGGTAACGAGGAAGAGAGAACGGGACTCTCCGTTCCTCCTTCAGAAAAGCTCAAATCCTGGTTAAAGTCGTCGAATATAACCCCAGAAAAACTTCAGAAATGGCTCAACAAGGAAAAATCGCCAGACATCGTCTTCTCGCGGATGCAGCTTACGAAGGCTGGCGACTTGTTGTTCTACAACTCCAAGTTCAGTACCTGGCTCCAATACGTCGACGATTTGAGTAAAACCTCGAAAGAGGAAGTCTCCGCGATCAAAACGCTGACTGCCCGGTATGGCGACAGTAAGCTGTATGGTATGATAAAAAGTATCAAGAGATTCCCGGAAGAGAAGAGCCTTGCAACGAGACTTGAGGAGGAGCAGATGCAGCACTGGGTCAATCTCCGCAAAGATCCTGATGAGATATTTCAGCTGTTTAATCTTGCCGAAAACAGGAGGTACATTTTCCGTCATCCCGAATTCACCACTTGGGTCAAGTACGTCGACAGTTTGAAAGCTAAACATCCTAAAGAACCAGTGTCGATGACCCAGACACTGACGAAATATTTTAGCGATAAATATCTACTCGAATTGGTAAAGGAAGCAGAAGTGAGAAAGGGGTCTAAAACCGTTGCCACTAAGGTGGAGGATGATCTTTTGGAGTTCTGGCTAAAAGATGGAAAGTCACCCGATGATGCTCTGGTGGAGGTCGGGCTTGGCATGTACAGATATTTTCATTTGGAGAACCCAATGTTTGACACTTTGGCCAAGTATTTACGAGTTTATAACTCAAAGTATCCCGACAAGAAAACTACAATGATCGAGCTATTAACGAAAAAGTTTGGAGACGGAGATGTTTCGGCGATTCTTACAGAGGCGAAACTAGTAGACGCGACGACAATCAGCTCAGTTGGAGATGTGGCTGAGCAAAGGGAAGTCTGTCGGTGACGTTGCTCTGCTCCTGCGGCTGTACAGAAGGCGTGATTTCACTGAAAAGCCGTTTCTTAGCACGTGGGTATCGTACATGAACACCATCGCCACAAACAACCCTCATGATGTGCATGCGATATTCTCGTCTTTGGAGTCTCAGTACGTTGGGCGACCACTGCTCCAAATCCTTGAAGCAGCCAAACAGTATCCCAGTATGGAAAACACTGCACTCGGATTGCAGACGAAAACGATACGAAGCATTTTCGCGAGTGGGGAAACTCCTGCGGTCGCGTTTTCTCAGCTTGTGCTTGACCAGGCGGGGGACGGTCTTCTCAGCAACCCACTGTTCAAGAACTGGATGGAATACGTCAAGGACTTCAACAAGAAAAACCCGGAAAAGCAGGAATCATGGTTTCAACCGCTTCGTATCGCCTACCAATGGAGAATCGAGAATATGATCGCGAGGGCGAAACAGAATCCAACTACGGTGAACATCGCCAATACTGTCGAGCGGGCGTGGCGAAAGCAATGGGTGGAATGGAATTACGCTCCAAGCGCTGCATTTAAGTTCTTTCAATTAAACAGAGCATATGAAAAGACTCTTCTCAGTCCAGAGTTCAAGGTATGGGTTAAGTATTTGAACTATTTCAATCGGCAGCATCCAGACAAGAAGGAGACTATAATTGACGGGATGAAGGCTAGCTACAACGACATAAACATACTGCTGATACTCAATGCAGCGAAGAAAGACCCCAATACGAAGAAGATGGTGACGTACTTGCAGAATGAACTTGTCAACAAGTGGGTAGTTGCGAACGAGGATCCGGCGGTCCTGAGGAGGAGATTCAGTGGCACTGTGGAAAACGGCGAAGAAATGGTGCAGCGTTATATCAAGAAGCGCGAAGCGATGTCTGCAACGACTTCATGAGGTGTTTCCATACACTTTCTAAAAAAAAAAACGAGGTTTCGCCAGGAAAACGCTGGTTTTCGATACGCGTAGTATTTCATCTACTTTAAGAGCTTGTAAATTGCACGATTTTGTCTGCCGGATTTTTTTGGCCTGTCGGGTATGTCATGCTCAGAATGTTGAGTCAGTTAATGTCCTTTTTATCCCCAAGGATTTATTTTACAGTAGTAAGATGCTTACTCTATTAAAAAATGTAGAGCAAGTGTTTCTTCTCGTTTCGACTGTATAACGTTCATTCCCACCACTGCCAAGTTCTAGATGTATGCCTTGTCATCTTTTTGTGTCTATAAAAGCGATTCCAGAGCAACTCAAGTTCGGTACCGGTGGCCGATCCTAAACCGGGTACACCTGTTGCTAGTACCTCTGGTTTGCGATTGCGAGCTCTGGTTCTGCTTGAAATTTTGCCATCATCATCATCGTCGCACCTCCTCATCGGTCTACTCGACACTTGACGTGAGCGCTCTCAAAAGTGGCTTGGTCTAATCAACACTTCGAGGTAGACCACAACCGAATTGGACATTCGTAACGCAAGGATTTCAGTCTATTGATGGTCTCTGGAAGCGATCCCTTCCAGACTCTGCAGCTGACAGACGAAGAGCAGCAGGACTGCTACGATCGCGCGTTCCAACTGCTCGATCGCACGCTGCGCAGCTATGATGAGAAAGACGATCAGGCAGAACACGGCCGGTCTCACACTCCGCTTCCCCATTCCAACCTGGACAACACGCGCTGGAAGCTGCTTAAAACTCAAGAAAATGCTTCACTTTACAAGGAGCGCAACTCCTGCACGCTCCAAGACTATAACCTCCTCGGTGGCGACTGGAAAGATCCCGTGGTGCTCCTAATGGCCGGAACGATCAATGGTGATCTCGACGGAATCGTCTTCGGCCTCGAAACTCCAGACTCGAGTGCCTTAAGGACTCGACTCGCGTTATTCACGAAGCAACCCGTGGACTGCGCCGTCTTGGCTCAATTAGCGGGCCCAACCGAAGCTGATCCGTTCCGATTCCTTGGCATCACGAGGATGGTGTACAACCACAAATGGCCACTCAAAGCGATGATCAAGCGACGAGACTTCGTGACGCTGACAGCGACAGGCACGATGACTCGAGCAAATGGTGACCGCATCGGATACGAAGTGGTGCAGCCAGTTAAACTTCAGCGGTGTCCTCCGCTGTCTGGCACGGTTATCCGTGGGAAGGTCATGTACGCCACGATACTAAAGCAGCAGGAACCTGGCACTGTGGACGTCTACATCCACACGTACGTCGAGACACAGGGATTCATTCTAGACAAATTGGTCATGGCTGTCACGTGGAGGGCAAATATCGGGTGTTGGAGCGCTAATAAACTCGTTGAAATGAAGAAACTACAATGGTATATCGCCAACTGTCGGTCCGAGCGTCAGAAGCAGCAACAGCGAGCATACCCGTCAGCTCGGAGCATCTGCAGACAGTGTTACGATAGACGGGGTTTGGTAAGAAGGCGTGGCAGTGGTATATATGATTACGACGGAACTTGCGTCCTGTGTACCTTTCCGATGTGCTACAAGTGTCGTGTGGAGAAAACACTCGAAATACTTGACGAGAACAGCGGAAGGCTAAAGCGTCAACTCGTTCTGGTGTGTCAGCCATGCTGGATGTTTGTGCAGACATTATGCCCCATGGCTATTGCGAGGCTGAACTACAAGCAACGACAACGGCAGTTGTAACGGGCGACGAATTGATCAGGGCATGCAACGGTGCCACATACCGTGTTCGTGAAGCGATTTCATGTCAATACACCTGTATTGGTGAAGTCATGTCTGTATATTATTAAAAACGATAAAGAGAAAAAAAAAATGGCAGTGCAGCCAATACTACGGAATGGAACGGTGGGAGCTGCGTAACTGTCTCCGTAACCTAAGTACAGTAGTAGCAAAAAAAAAAATACATCCAAGCGATTTGTCATTTCCGATCTTTAACAGCAACCGTGAGCGCTACAGCGATATGGAGACCATATGACAGAATCAATACGATTTCCGAACGCGATCGCCTATAAGGCGTTCAATTATGTGTACTCCGCCAAAGACCCTGTTTCAAACCTCGACCGTCAGCTTCTACACGAACGCACGGCCACTAATACATCCAGTAATGCAAGAGCCACACCGTACAGCAAGAAACAAGATCATACCTATTGGCTTTGCATTCATTACTACTGCCTCTTCTTTTATCTACGCTACAATTTTTCCTCGCGGGCTTACATCACCATTACCCGTCACCTACTCTTCCCACACAGCATGCCTTGTTTCAGCTTCTTCATTTGCCCTTCGTCTTGTCAGTAGGATCCGACTTGGTCTCCTTCGACGATTTTGCTTTCGACCCCGTTTTGCTCTCCTTCTCGACTGACTTGGCGTCCACAGCGTCCGTGGACACAGTTGCAGGCTCTTTCTCACCACCAACGGCGCCAGCACTCGTTTGGGCAGACTCATAGCCAGAGTAGCCCGGGTAGCCGTAGCCGTAATTGGAGTAGCCGTAGCCGTAATCGGGGTAGCCGTAGCTAGGGTAGCCGTATCCATACGACGAATAGTAGTCCGGGTAGTAGCCGTAGCCATAGCCGTCGTAGTCCTTACCGTAGGACGAGTAGTAATCGGGGTAGTAGCCGTAGCTGTAGTCCTTGCCATAGCTGTAGTAGTCGTTGCCATGGCCATAGTAGTCGTCGCTGTAGTCATCGCAGTCACCGCCATAGCTCTTGTAGCCATAGTTGTACCCATAGTTGTAGCCATAGCCCTCATAGTCGTCGCCGTAGCCGTAGTAGCTCTTGTGCTTGTAGTCGTCGCCATAGCCGTAGCTCTTGTGCTTGTAATCGTCATGCTTGTCGTCGTCGTAGCCGTAGCGCTTATGCTTGTGGTCGTCGTGCTTGTGGTCATCGTGACCATAGTCGTATTTGCCGTAGCTCGAGGACTCGGCGGCCTTGTTTTCCTTGTCTTCTAGACGACGACGGTAGTAATCCTTGTCGTGGCGGTGATGCTTTTTGCGGTCGTGGTCATGGTCGTGCTTCCGCGGGTGGTGTCCATAGTCCTTATAGGAGCCAAGTAGACGACGCGGAGCCGCTGAAGCACTGCCACGAGCGTCGGCTGCCTGCAGGATGGAAGCAGCGACACACAGGCCCAGTACGGCGAGGATCTTCGAGTGCATCTTGAAGGTTTCGCACGGAGCTGCGTGACTGGGGTCGGTCGTCGATTGCTGGGAAGGGCAAGATGAAAAGTGAGGAAGCGAGGACTGGCCGATCCGGTCGAGCTGCAGTCCTGTACTTGAGTAGTCGCTGTTGCCATCGCGGTCACCCCCTCGTCCGTCTCTCGCAATGTATCAACTGAACAGACATCATCTTTGGCTTCTTTTGATTGGTAAGGGATGCATTGAGACACAGAGAAGCGTCGAGAGAATGGCTTCTGTCATGATGGAGATGGAGTACTTAGACTGTAGAGA